AGTCACCTGTGGATTGGAGTGTGAGAGGCCTTCTCAACCTCTGAGGAAATGATGTAACATAGCAATGCTGGCTCCTGCTCAGGGCTTCAGTTCAAGGAGCTTCTAGTCAGTGTGTGCTGTGTGCAGGGCTCGTCCATGGACCGAGTGTCCAATGTCAGAGCAGCCAGGAGCCTGTCCTGGAAGCAGACCTGGGTTTCTGTCCAGACCCCATCACTAACTCACTGTGTGATGATGGGCAGAGCCCAGTTTTTTCCTGGCCCCAGGAGTGAGTGGGGACTGAGCTGCATGGTGTCTACAGGACTTTGGGGTCTGACTTTCCACATCTAGGAGTTGGGAAGAGGATCATGGGCCTCTGGCAGACACCCAAAAGGGGCATCCTCTTTGCTGCTTCAACCAGGTAACTAACCTGCATGGGGAGGTTCACATGCGTGGGGAGGTTCATTCCTGGAGTGAGGGACCTCCTAAGGTGCAGCTGTCTGCCCTGAATCACGCAGGTTCTCTTACCAGAGCCCACAGCAGAGCTAGTCCTCTGGGCATCTCCCCCAACAGGGCTCTCAGATCTGCTTGCTCCCTGTAGGTCTTTTTGCTCAGTGTGTTGTATCTGAAGACAAATAAACTCACATGCCCTCTCAGTCCTGCACTGACCTTCTCCTCATTGGAGGGGAAGAGAATGGAAACGTCACGGGGAAGAGCTTGTGCCCACTTGTTCATTGCTGTTTTCAACTCCTAAGAGCAGAGCCGGGCACACAGTAGGCCCTCAGAAATTATATGTCAAATAAGAGGAGACATGGCCATGGTGCAGGGAAGACTCTGGGGGCAGGAGGTGAATGGGATGACACCCACATGTTCAGTTTCCTCCTCTGTGAGGACCACACTGGACAAGGCTCGTCTTTGGAGCAGATGACTAGGTTTGCAGACTTTTCTCCCTGTGTCACCAGGGTCCTTAAGCAATCTGCATGGACTTTAGGCTACAACTCCCTGCTCTGTAAAGCGGCTGGATGGTGACCAGGAATATAAATACCCACCCTCACCTCTGATACTTAGTTGTTGCTCAAAGAACACAGGTGTTATTCCTGATGAGCTATTGTCACACTAGAGGTGGGAGGCCACATCTGTACTCACCACTCACAGTGAGCCGAGTCCCAGCACCAGACTTAAACTCCATATCAGGGGTCCCTTTCATGAACTTCACACAATAGTAGGTGTTGGCGTCGGCCAGGGTGATGTTGCTGATGCTGATGGAAAATTCCATGTTGTTTCTTTGTGTGATGTCTGCCACATTTCCTACTCGGGGGTAGAGAGGTAAGTGTTCGTGGGTTCCTTTGAAATTGTAGATTAGCTGCCGATCTGGTCCAGTACCCCTGAACCAGTACGTGGGCCCCAAGGGTTGCAGAGTGGAGACTGTGCAGGGCAGAATGGCCGTCTCTCCAGCTGCGACCGACACCGTCTCAGGCTGAGTCACCTGCAGCTCCTCCTCACCTGTCACTCCTGCAGGGAACACAGGGCCGTTATTCACCCCGTAGGATCCTGGTTTCTCAAGTGTGTATCA